CAACAAAAACCTCGACACCAGGCGTTGCAGTCTCCATAGTCCGCGGAGCGGACAAAAGTAGCTAAGTAGCTAAAGTAGCTAGACCCAGTAGCTAAAATGTAGTCGTGACCCACCGGTGGGCGAAAATGATGACGCTTCTGAAATGATTTTCTGTAAACACTTTAACCGACTAATAATATAAGTTATGCGACGTAATTTTGAGCATGCGCACTTAAAAGTTTATTTCACAAAATTTCACACACATGATTTCACACACATGAAAATTTTAGAAACACAAGCCCTAACACCAGGCGTTGCAGTCTCCGTGGGCCGCGCAGCGTTGGCCCAGCAGCTAATATTAAGTTGTGGACAAGGGGTCTACGAAAATGACGACGCTTCTGAAAAAGTATCGTTGGACGCTTCATGACATCAGATCTTGTATTTAAGAGGTAGTCTGAGGGCATATTTCACGCTTGCAATTTTTAGATTGATGGAAAGAACGGATTGCCCCTTAAAGCACCGCGAAGTGGGGCTGGAATCCGGTGGTTGAACTGTGTGAGTGAAGGTAAAATATATATTTTTCGTGTTTCCGCAGCTATTTATCTGCCTAGAAGACGAATGAACACGGCACCCGCCGTCTGGTGGCGCTTGCAATGGCCGAAACTTATCGGTTTTACGGAAGTTGCAGCCCAGACCAGCCTTGTCCTTGCTCTCAAGGTTGCGGGCGGATATGTTCAAGCCGTTTGATGTAATTTGTTTCAATAATACATTCTGAAAGAAATGAACGTTCTCAGGCAAACATGGCATGACCCTGATAGATTTTTTTTCAAAATCCATTTCGACCCGTGCTTTTCAACGATAATGAGATCTCCACTCTACCCAACAATAATGAGACCCCTTATTCCCTTCCGGGCAAGGGGCCTCTTGAGTAGAAAACCAGGGGCACATAACCATTTCCGGTCAAAGGCTGAGGGGCCATTCCGTCCCATCACAAAGTGTCTTCTGGCTATCATTCTGGGGGCACGGGGCGGGATCTCCTGATCGATCCGGAGATCATTAGAAGGATATATCATATCCCATTGTTCCCATCCCTGACACGGGAGGTCTTCTGATCCGCGCAGTTGGCCCCGGATCAGTACAGGAGCCCTCATTGACGCAGCAGCATCCCTGATCACCACGGGCAGGCCCGTAGTTTTTACACAGATTCCAGTTCCGTGTTTTTCTGTGTTCTTCAGAGATATTGAGTTCTCTCTGACTGTAGATTGCAGATGAAATGGGGTTCATAATTTGCATTAACATGGCTAGCTCATGTTCGTCTTACAACGCTCAAGATCCTGTCAGAGCTTATTACTGATAAGAAGACTACGTAATATGGCGTTGAACATGCGTGCCCGCAAGTCATAGCAATAACAGCCTCGACGCCCGGCGTTGCAGTCTCCAGGCCGTGCGACGTCGGCCTTGCGGCTGTAACACTAAGTGATGGCCAATGAGTAAACGAAAAAGATGACGCATCTTAAGGGAGATGGCTGGTGAACTAGGTAAATCGGCATACATGTTTAATGTGGTGCAAAAGTAAGCCAAATGCAACCTTAATCTGAAGAGTGAGGGGAGGGCCAGTTAACATTGTGCCCCCCCCCCCCCACCTTGAAAAGTGGGGGGGGCCATGGCCCCTCTTGCCCCCTGTTCCTACGCCCACGGCAGCCGCGCAGTTACCAGCACCCAGAAACCGCAAAACCAAAGCGAACGTTAAAACAATCAAGGCACAACGCGCATTATGGCTTTTCGTGCGTTGAAGTCGCTGCATCGTGCATCACTGCCACTGAGGTAAGACCGCACGCCGCGTGCGTGCCAAGTGTTCACGCCCGCTGAGTAGGATCGGCCACTGTTTGTAAGCCTCTGGCGAGCGCTGTCCGGACTGAGGCGTATCAAGACACGGCAACAGACACTTGTCGTGCGAGACCAGCCTGGCCGTGCGAAGAATACAGGCTGTTCCCAGCGCGGGCCGTATTGATTGCCGCCCCATCACTAATTCATGGTCACAGCGGGCATTCCTGAAGGAGTGTCCCAGGGGCGGTGCCAGGATTATCCTAGGGGCGGGCTTAGGAGCATACCAGGGCCGCAACCAGGAGTATCCAGGGGCGAACTTAGGAGTGTCCCAGGGTCAGACCCGCACACCCAGAATCATCCTAGGGGTGGACGCAGGAGTATCCTAGGGACGGATGCAGGGGTATCCTGGGGGCGGACCCAAGAGTATCCAGGGGGCGGACCCAGCCATCCAGTTCGGCCACCAGCCTGGATCCAGACCTGGATTTCGCTGCCGGAGGGGACGAGGAGACGCAGCCAGAGGACGCGCAGAGGACGCGCAGCCAGAGGACGCGCAGAGGACGCACAGCCAGAGGACGCGCAGAGGACGCGCAGAGGACGCGCGGCAGAGGACGCGCAGAGGACGCGCAGAGAACGCGTAGAGGACGCGCAGAGGACGCGCAGCCAGAGGACGCGCAGCAAGAGGACGCGCAGCCAGAGGACGCGCAGAGGACGCGCAGCCAGAGGACGCGCAGCAAGAGGACGCGCAGCCAGAGGACGCGCAGAGGACGCGCAGCAGAGGACGCGCAGAGGACGCGCAGAGGACGCGCAGAGGACGCGCAGCCAGAGGACGCGCAGAGGACGCGCAGAGGACGCTCTTCCATTCACCCCATGGCGATACCATTTAAGCACCATTGTGTTTATTCTGCGACAATGAACGACAATTCGAGCCGAATCTGTGCTGGGTGCAACATTCGCTGGACAAAAACATTGCTTCCGCCACATACACGCGGCACAACGGGCATATCTCGTCATAAGTCACGAAGACAATCAGGCCATTGGTACACACTGTCCTTCATCCTTCACGCAACAGACCCATCAAAGGCCGGACGTGAATTATATACGACACAGAACCCAAACACCCTTAGTCTGTGCTGATGGTGCCCATTATGAAGACCTCGACAGTTTACCTCAACGGCACAATGAGCGAGGCACTAATCAGCAAACTATTTCACTTGGGAAGAGCCGAGCTCGCGCACCTCATAACGCTCCTCTCCAAACTAGCCCAGGACCGTGCGCCCAATTCCCAGATTATGACCAGCATGTCCATCCCCTGCCTGGTACAGAGCCGCCACATGATGCGCTGGCAGACCCCAGCTCCTGGATCACACTGTGCTAGCAGTCACCAGCTCCTGGATCACACTACGCTGGCAGACCCCAACTCCTGGATCATACTGCGCTGGCAGACCCCATCTCCTGGATCACACTGGTCCCTTAAAAAACAACACATGCTGCTTCCTGGTTTTCACTGGTTCTTTTGAAAACACGATATATTGATTCCTGGTGCGTTGGTTCCTTGGCGAACACCAGACCTTGCTCGCCAACTTCCATCGGCCTCCATAAACACGAGACACTGGTTGCCACAGTTCTTTCTCAAACACCAGGTCCTGATTCCTAGCTCCCTCATAAAGATTCAGTCCCGGCTCCATTGATGTCCCACAAGCACCAGACCCTGGCTTCTGGTTCCATTGATGTCCCACAAACACCAGATCCTGAATTCCGGTTCCCAATGGATCATGCACCAGGCACCACATGCCACTTCCCGCTTCTCATTGGCTCGTTGGTAAACACCATCTGGGTTGTCATTCTTCAGCTAATTGAACTGAAGCCAGAAGCGGATTAGGGGAGGGAGGGATGAGATGCCACTTCTCTCCATTTCGGGTAACATTTATTTTTCTTCTCCCCCATCTCCGCAGATATCCTGTCCCCTCTGCATTGAAGAATGTCGACTGAGGTAAGAGATGTCTTACGGTAAGAGGTAAGAAGAAGAGGTAAGATACGTCTTACGTCTGCTTTGTAATGTTGATCTTTGGAACGCACGTAAAACAAGATGGTTCACTTTGCCGATGCAAGCCAGTTCTTGACAATACTTCCAAGACAGATCCTGGTTGTTGCTGGTGCCATTAACTTCACACTGAGTCTTGGTTCTTGCTAGATCCTCGACATAATTCCAGGCTGGATTTGGGTTCTTAGGCGCGTGAGTAACCGGTCGGGAATAACTAGCAGAATCCCATTGTCATGAGTCATGAGTTTTGTCAAGCACATTGTCAATGTCACATTGTCAATCACATGAGTCATGTCTCGAATGCAGCACACCGGGCATAGACAAGGAAGACCACGACCGCGAAAACTACAGGAGCTAACCAAGTTTGTTTTCACTTAAGCCCACCTCATGTTTTCGCTCTTGGCGACACGCTGGTCACAGCCACAGCAGCCGTTAATCATGACAAAGCCATTAATTTCGCCAAGTGAAATGGCTGTGCCCTCAAACTGACAATTCTCCAACATTATTCGTGGAATGCATAAAGGTCGCGTTGGTAAGAACCTCGCCAGCAGGACCTCGCCTCTCGATGCATGAAAGGCAGACTTTTCAGCGCTTTTACCAACCCTATCAACGTGCTTCCCGAAATACACCCGCTGCCATGCTTTCAAGATGGTCTCGCTCCAAGCCGGACTCTTCGCCATTAGCTTCGGTTTTGGCGTGGTGCCCACGATGGCAAGTAATGGTTCCGACGACAGCAATCGCCTTGTTCGTTCCACACCAGATGACCTGCTGCATTCCTCCCCACACGGCTCCACCGTATCAGACCCGTCACTCCGTTCCGCCTCACACGGCTCCACCGTATCAGACCCCGTCACATCGTTCCTCCCCACACGGCTCCACCGTATCAGACCCCGTCACTTCGTTCCACCTCGCACGGCTTCACCTATCAGACCCCGTCACTTCGTTCCACCTCGCACGGCTCCACCGTATCAGACCCCGTCACTTCGTTCTACTCCACACGGCTCCACCGCACCAGATCCAGTCACTTCGTTCCACTTTACATGGCTCCACCGTATAATATCCCGTCAATCCGTTCCACCTCACGCGGCTCCACTTTACCAGACCCAATCACTTCGTTCCACCCCATACGGCTCCACCGTATAAGACCCCGCCACTTCGTTACATTATGTATTTCAACCGGACACAACTGTCAATGTACAAAATTATACAAAATAGGACACTAGCGCCACCACGATGGTGGCGCCACATCTGCACAGCGGCGGCACGCTGAAACACAGCTGGACCGTCAGCGCGTCGGCGCGCGCTCCCGCCCGGCTCGCAGTGGTTCGCGACACCGGGCGGCCGCCCGTCAGACATCCCTCCCGCACCCCAGAGCCAACCACGCCAGCCCCGGAGGCTTGGGCTACGCCTGCCGAGACTCCGACGCGGCTCCAAGAGCACCTGGCTGTACGTCCAGCCACCCGGATAGCAACCACGACCCTCGGGAATCACCACAGAACCCCGGCCGTACTCCAAAGCCTGAGCGGCATCCAACAGTCTGAGAGGTACCCAAAGGGCATTTGGGGGACACGAAGTCCCGGGAGGTACGCTAAAGCCCTCGGCGGCACGCCAAAACCCCGAATGATAACCCGAAGCCTTGAGCCACGTATCGGCGCCCTAAACGGTACAGCAGGACGCCGGCCGACATCCCGGAGTCACCGGGTGCCGGGGTGCCCTCAGACGGCGCTCCCCAGCCCCAGGAGGCCCTACCCACTCAGACCGAGCCCCACCACACACGCGAGCCCTGCCCCCTGGACACAGCCACAGCCCGCTGAGGAGGCGAGGCGACGCGAGGCGAGGCGAGGTGACGGCGGCGGCTGCGGCTTTCGCCGCGCCCGAACGGCGGCGCCAGAGCCGCAGCCGCCGCATCACGGCTGGCCGACCCGGAGCCGCACGGCCAACACCGGCCAGATTCGGCGTGAAAGCTGGACAGGACCCGGACGGCCAGATTCTGGCCCGCCAGCAGCGCTCGTCTGCACGCAACGACAAAGCATCACTCAGGCTCCATCCAGCCGGGCCGCAGACCGCCAGACCGAGACCTCAGCCGGTGACGTCACGCTATGACGTCACCGGCAGCGAGCCGCGCGTCACCTCCACAGCACTGTGCCGGCGCCCGCGGCGCCCCCGCAGAGGGTCAGACCGGGCCCGGCTCCCGCCGGCTCGACGCGCGAGGATGGCCGGCCGGTCGGCAGCCGGCGTCTTTTGATACGCTTCACAAGCCGCTGGTGTCGCCCGCGGCCCGCAGCCCCGGCGCGGACAGCACGCGCCGACACCCGTCACGCGGCGCGCGCGAACAACAGTGGAGAACCGGGCAAGCTCGGCGGTCGCACGGCGGCCGGCGGCGCGCCGCCCTCGCGCCAAAACAGCCGGCACAGAAGACCACGGCAGCGCGCGCCACGGCGCCTCCCACAGCGTCCCGGCGTCCGCTCGGCTCCATCACGCTTCACGCGCCACGCACAGCACTTCATTCACGCAGGTGGCCGCAGCGGCGGCGACCAACCGCACTCAGGCACTTAGGACAGGCGCGCCGCCCGGCGGCGGCGCGGTGCACTGGCGGTGTGCGGGCCGGCCGCCGGATGGCGCCACCTACGAGGTCCGTTCTGGTCGCTTATTTTGCAGGCAGCGCGGCCACGGCAGCGGCCATTCGTAATGGCGTGGCACCGGACCGCTAACGTTGCGCTCGAAGTAGCGGAAGATGAAGAACCACCAGATGCGCGACAGGTAGTTGTTGGGGCCGCTCTCCTGCGGGCGGGGGTGGGGGAGGGGGAGGGCTGATGTTAGGCTCAGTGGGACACCGCTTTTGTTGCTGTGCGTTGGCATTCTCGGGCGCACTGACAGCAATGGCCGCTGGGCCACGGGCGCCCGGCCCACAGCTGAACGCTACGATGGCGGCGATGGACGGCGTGAACCCACGGCAAGCGCGTGAGTTCACGGCACGGCACAGCAAGCCACCTAGTCCAAGAATAAAAACGCCTTCGTGACGACTCGGATCAGGAACGTGAACGCGCAGCCATTACACGAATCGCTGGCAGCGCGGCTCCATCACAGAAGACGGCACATAACATACATTGCCACCGCCAGGCAGCGCGCACACGCTCGTCACGCGTCGCGGGCAGCCTCCGCGTCCGCCTCCGGCCCGCCCGACCCCCACCTTGAGCGCAGCGTTGTTGGACATGGTGTGGTAGAGCCAGAAGACGCGGGTGGTGACGTAGTAGGCGATCAGCACGTCGACGGTGTAGTGGCCGCGCGCTATCAGCACCATCACCACGCCGGTCAGGGCTGCCAGCAGGCTGGCCCAGTGCAGCACCCACCAGTGACGCGGCGTGTCTGAGGGCAGGCGGGTCAGGTCAGGTCAGGTCAGGTCAGCTTCAGCGGTCACGGGGACTCAGATACGTCAGATCCAGCAGAAACAAACACACCAAAGAAAACAGGCGTTCACCACAACTGACGGGGCTGCTGACAGCCCGGGCCGTTCCCGCCCCGCCACAGACGGCCCCGGGCCGCTCCCGCCCCGTCAGAGAGGCAGAGTGACACCGTCTCCATCACCGATCAGATGATCAGATCAGAGCGATCAGAGCGTATTAAAACTCCAGCAATGATGTTTCCTCATCGCCGTGGCCACAGCAGCGGCCATCGTCACCATCACCACCCCCAGGCATCACCATCGCCGTCACCAGCATCGTCCCACCCCACTAACATGACAACAATAACACTAATGCTCAAAAGTAATGAATATGGTACTAGCTATAACGATGCTAGTCATAAGATGTACGGCACCTTAATGACCATAGTGAATAAATAACTAAATAATGATATAAACATATTACCTCGTTAAAATAAAACACAACCAAACGCCCAATATTCATCATCGTAACCTAATGTACGGAGGCGGAGCAGACTGGGTGTCAGCTCCCGGCAACAGCTCAGTCATCACCACCGCCCGGCACACCGGCCTGTCACAAAACGGCCCCCCGCCGCCCGCCGCCAGCACCCCCACTCACACTCGCGCAGCACCATGTAGGCCATGGTGAGCGTGACCGTGTGGCCCGAGTAGATGTAGTCGCCGCAGTACACGTGCTGGCCGTTGATGCTGAGGCCGAAGCCGCCGAACAGCTTCAGCACGCGCGTTACCACCAGCGTGAAGGACAGGTACCTGCGGAGCGGGCGGTGGCGGTCAGCGGCGCCTGGCAGCTGGGGAGGGCGCCACGGCTATCGGCCGGGAGGCTGCCACGGAACCGAACACTGAGTGAGCTCAGCCGCCGCAATAGAACACAGAGCCGGCAGGGCGGGGGTGGGCCGGCAGGGTTAGCCGGCAGGGCGGGGGTGGGCCGGCAGGGCGGGGGTGGGCCGGCAGGGTTAGCCGGCAGGGCGGGGGTGGGCCGGCAGGGCGGGGGGTGGGCCCGGCAGTTTAGCCAGCAGGGCGGGGGTGGCCGGCAGGGCGGGGGTGGGCCGGCAGGGCGGGGGTGGGCCGGCAGGGTGAGCCGGCAGGAGTCAGTCAGACGAGGGCGGGGGACACTCAGGCAGAGTCTAGGTCACTCGAACACAGTCTGAGTTACTCGGACAGAGTCTAGGGTCACTCGAACACAGTCAGAGCCCCTCGGCCATTGTTTGGGTCGCTCGAGCGAGGAGAAAGAGAAGCGCCTGCGAGGCAACACTTGGCCGTCTTCAAAGTCTTGCACGCAAACCGCGGTTTTTTCAGTGCTTCACAAGGCGGCGCAACAACCCACGAAAGAGCGGACAAAACGGAAAAAGCCCAGGAGAGGGCGAAATAAATGCGAGGTCCAACAAGGCCAGCGCCGCGCCGCGCCGCGCCGGACACACACCTCTGTCCACCCAGAAAGGCGGCCTGGCCGGCTGCAGCTCCAGCGAGGGGTGACCCACTGCTCCCTCCGCTCCCCCACTCCAGTGCAGGGTGACCCGCTGCTCCCCGCTCCCAGCTCCAGTGCAGGGTGACCCACTGCTCCCCGCTCCCCCACTCCGGTGGAGGGTGGCCCACTGCTCCCCCGCTCCCAGCTTCAGCGCACGGTCACTTGAGCCGACTGCGTCACACTGCCGCAGCGCCCCGTGCACCGGCTGTGGCGCGGGCACCCTCTTGCGGTCCACAGCGCCCGCCTCAACCACCCCCTCCGCCGACCTCGCTGACCGGCGCGCGCCAAGTGCACACCGGTGACCAAGGTCGAGCCGCAAGTCACAGGCACTGACAATGATCCCTGCCGGGGAGCTCCCCGGCGGAGGGCACTGGGAGCCCCCCTCCCCCCTCCCCTGCGGCTCACCCGGCCTTCGGCTCACACTGATAGTCCGGGTCCGGGGCACACTCACCCGGCCTTCGGCTCACACTGATAGTCCGGGTCCGGGGCACACTCACCCAGCCTTCGGCTCACACTGGTAGTCCGGGTCCGGCTTGGGCAGCGCCGTCACGAAGTAAAGCACCGACCGCATCATGTACAGCAGGCCCATGATGAGGAAGATCCGACGGAACACGATAAACCTGGCGGCGACGGCGCCGTCTCAGACCGCGACACGCCCACGGCGAGTCTGGCGCCATCACTCCCCCCACGCACTCCTATACACTCCTCCCACACTCTCCTCCTATACACTCCCCCCACACACCTATACACTCCTCCCACTCTCCTCCTGTACACTCCTCCCACGGCTCTCCCTGCACACCGTGTACCATACACAACACATGGAACAGACCACCACATGCCACGTGGCGTAGAACACTGCTGCTCACGCAGTGCTGAACACCTTTGATCGCGTCCGTTCCAATGTGACCCGGCGCTGGGGCTCACTTAACACAGCACGAACCGATAAATGATAACTGATACCGATGGCTGATAAACGCTGAACTGGCAGCTGATCCTGTAACCTAATGTTCATAACTGATGTTCATAACAGGTAAATGACACCAACGTAAGTTAGTCAGCGAGGTGTCGTCAGCGAGGTGTCATCAGCGAGCCCCCTCGCCCTCCTGAGGCTGTGCCACGTCCCTGACGGCGTGGCACGCGACGCTCGGCGTCCTGGCCAGCGAGGGCAGGAGCCAGCGGACCGCGCCGCCCACACGCTGTCCGTCGCTGACGCCGCACCATCACGGCTCCAGAGCCCTGGCCTCCTTCTCACGGCACCGACCGGCGGCACTCAGCCCTCCCCCCCCCCCCACCCCCACCGAGGCGGCCTTTGGACAGCACGAGCCTTCCTGCTACCGGACGTCACCACCACGGACCACAGCTACCCTTGACCTCGACCAGCGGCCTGACTGCACCAGACTCGACCTAATCCCAGACAGCTTCCGCCCCCCTCCCCCCCCCCCCACCACTCCCCCCAATCCGCCGGCGGCCCCCGCGGCGGTACGCACCTATGCTTGTGCAGCAGCACGACGAGGAAGGCCGAGTTGACCATGACGATGATGACCGTCTCGGAGACCTTGAGCGCCCAGCTGCCGGTAGGCACATTGTCCAGCACGATGTCCGGCAGCGGCGGCGTGTCCGGCACGCGCTCGTGGGTGATGGCCAGCGAGGTGAGCGTCAGCAGAAAGTTGAACACCATCCAGAGCAGCGCTGCATACAGGAGAGACGCTCATGTCAACCTTCCCAGCGCGTGCCGCGCTGGCATGGGCTGTGACGTCGCGTGACGTCACCCAAAACGACAGCAGCGAGTTCTCGCGGATGCCGAGGGGCACGCGGCACCAATAACGTCCAGAGCGCCGCTGTGCGGGGAGGAGGCAGACACCCAGTGCCGGAACGGCACGTTCAGAGCGCCGCTGTGCGGGGAGGAGACAGACACACAGCGTCGGCACGACACGTCCACAGCGCAGCTGTGCGGAGAGGAGACGGACGCACAGCGCCGGCACGGCGCGTCCACCGCGCCGCTGTGCGGGGAGGAGACAGACACACAGCGTCGGCATGACACGTCCACAGCGCCGCTGTGCGGGGAGGAGACAGACACACAGCGCCGGCACGGCACGTCCACAGCGCCGCTGTGCGGGGAGGAGGCACACACAGCGCCGGTACGGCACGTCCAGGGCGGTGCCGACAAAACAGAGCGCGGACGCGGGCTGGCGGAGCCACCGACTCCGTGGCCAAGTGAGGGGAGTCCGAGCCGCCCGCGGCGTCACCGCAACCGGATCGGCTGCCCCACACAGACGACGGGGGTCGGTCAGCGGGCGCGGCGGAGCGGCAGACACATGTCCGACGCCGGCCGCAGCAGCGATGGAGGACACAGCGCCGACACAGCCCCCCAGCAGGGAGGCGCGCCGCCTGACCGCCCGCAGTCGAGCTGCGCCCAGCAGGCACACGCCGGTGGAAGACCTTCACACCTTCCCCCCCCCCCCCCCCACCGTGGCAAACAAACCGCGCAACACACCAAAATCGACCAGAGAAGGTACACCGAAGCCATATCGGACATAGATACCAAAACGTTTATCACAGGCCCGAGGAAAAGCCCACGGCAAGGCTCAACGATGCGGCCACATCGTTGAGATGAACATGAGATGCGGCAAGGCGGCCGCATCTCAACGATGTCCTTGCGGCCGGCTTGATTCAGCCATTCGTGCTTTGCTTCCTCAAACAAAATACACAAACCCGGCCAAAAAAACACACACAAACATGCAAAAACCCGGCGCCAGATCCCGAAACCGAACATCGCGCCACATGCCGTGCTCAGTACACAGCCAGTCCTCGCTCCGCCTCCCGAGGCCTCCACTGGCGTCATCTGACGCCCGAGACGCGTCGCCGGCCCCGGCCCGCTCGCGCGGCGGCTCACCGAGCAGCGTCTTGAGCTTCTCCTTGGGGAAGCGGAGCGGCGCCGGCGTGCCGATGTTGACCCGGACAGATGCCTCGCCCTTAGCGCCGCCGCCGGCCGGGGTCGCCTGGTAGAAGCCGCCGTTGCTGGCCGGCTCCGGGGCGCCATGCTGGACACTGCAACACAGCCGTAACCACCGATGAGGGAGCGAAGCACAGCGGTAACTACCGATGGGGGAGCGAAGCACAGCGGTGACCACCGATGAGGGAGCGGAGCACAGCGGTGACCACCGATGAGGGAGCGAAGCACAGCGGTAACCACCGATGGGGGAGCGAAGCACAACGGTGGGCAACGGTGAGAGCGGAACACAGCGGTGAGCAACCATGAGAGCGGAACACAGCGGTGGGGAACGATGAGAGCGGAACACGGCAGTGAGCAACGGTGAGAGCGGAACACAGCGGTGGGGAACGGTGAGAGCGGAACACAGCGGTGGGGGACGGTGAGAGCGGAACACAGCAGTGGGGGACGGTGAGAGTGGAACACCCGGGCTGCAGAACGAAACACAAGGACGAAAAGCAGTCAGATCCTGGAGCGCAATGATCCGTCGACCAGACCTGTGCCTGAAGCTCAGCGAAGATGACAGGATTCTATCTGCGCCGCATCCAATGGGATCCTAGATCTGGACCTGGATCCATCCTCGGGATCCAAGCACATGTCTGCAGCGAGGGGTTACACATGTGTCCGAAACACGTCTTGCGGTCTGCGTGCAGGGACAGTTCCGTGTGTCGGACACAGAGCCTCAGTTCTGTGTGTCGGACACAGAACCTCAGTTCTGTGGGTCGGACACAGAGCCCCAGTTCTGTGGGTCGAACACAGAGCCTCAGTCCTGTGCCATCGTGTTGTCCTAACGTTACTTCTCGCAGGGCATCGCAAAGCACACTGAAATCCCGGCTGGCAGAACTGACTTGATTTCAGATGTAGCCCTCAGGGCGAAGGATTGGTGGGCAGTGGGCAAACTCCCCCGCCGGCCCAAAGAAGATGGTTGAAGCCCTGAGGGAGGAGGCGAGGGGGATAGACGCAGTGAGCAAACCACCCCCAACGTCTCAAATGGTTGAATGCCCCATGGGGTTATCACACCAACCGGAAGATAAACCTCCCTGGCGATGGTTACATCCCCCGAGAAATGATATTTAAAAGCCGCTGCTTTGCCGGCTGTCTCCATTCTGTCGATACACAGGCGCCCGCCTACCCTCCCTGCCACACACGCTGTGCACAGCGCTGGTGCAGGTGGGCGCCTCTGTGCCGCGGCAGGGGGCGGCTCGGACCAAGTCGTACCTCAGGCAACGTCGTCGGCAGTGGCACTCCTCGTCTTTGGCCAGCCAGCGGCCCACCACCAGGTCGGCCGCCACCATCACACCCGTCGCCGCATAGCCCGCGGCCACCGCGCAATCTCCAGGGCCATCGAACGCCCGCGGTGCCGGCCCGGGTCACAGAGGTCACTGAGCGCCCGCGGCCACCGCGGGGTCGCAGACGTCAGCCGGCTCCGACAGCGACCGCGGGGTCACAGAGGTCACCGGCCGCCGGCGGCGTTGATCTGCTCCAGACCGGCCAGTCGCCCGCGCCGGCCGCCGCCGAAGCGCCGCGGGAGGCGAGTGGCCTACGGCACGCGACCAGCCGGGCAGAGCGAGCCGCCTCGCGACCAGCCGGGCAGAGCAGGCCGCCTCGCGACCGGCCGGGCAGAGCGAGCCGCCTCGCGACCAGCCGGGCAGAGTGAGCCGCCTCGCGACCAGCCGGGCAGAGCGGGCCGCCTCGCGCGCGGCGTCGACAGCTCAAGGCCCGTCACTGCCGGCCGTCCGACCAGGAAGCACGCGACGGAGTGCGCACCGGCTGATAAACACACTGGCAGTGCGCCCAGCCGGGCGGCCGGCCGGCGGCGGGCTTGTGCGCCGACTGGGTGGGTCACGGGTTCGCTGGCAGGGCAGAGACGCGGCTTGCCGGCTACTGCGCTAACGCGGCGCAGGACGCCTCGCTGAAGCTTTCGGAGATGTGGCACAAGACGTCGTGCCTCGGCATGCTGTCCTCGCCACGACAGCGTAATGCTGATCACTTCATAAGATGATCACTGCGACGTTGCACGGAATGGCACGCGATCTTTCCAGAGGATGTGCGCAGGCAACACAAGCACGAGTCCTTTTCAAAAAATCTTCACAGCGTAGGTGCCGCCTGCGCAAACGCACGACCACAATCGCTCGAGACTTTTGACCGGCTTCGGGAGAGGCAGCGGAGTGGGAGCGGGCGGGGGCGCCCGTCGGACGGACGTGCCCTCGCGGCGGGAGGCGCGGGTCTGGCCGGGGCGCGCCAGCACCACCGCGCCTGTCGCCAGGCGCTCGTTTGCCGCACTCAGCAAGTTTATCTGGCTGCCGCAGCGAGGCAAGAACGATTACAGATACGGCTGAGCACGTCGCATACGACCTCGAGATGTACCCAACGCTCGGGTATCCCGGAGCACGGCTCCCGGCCACGCCGCAGGGCGACGAGCTCGCCCACGACTCACGACTCTTGAGTCCCAGACGCTTGAATACTGTGCACGGCCCTCGAGTCTGTCGCCGGCAGAGCATCAGGGCCTGACAGGGCTACATAAGCGGATCACGCCTGAACAGCTGGCTGCCGGACCGAGTCGGTTCAACGATCAAGCCGCAGGGGGCTGCCGGCGGGGGGGGGGGGGGGTCGAAGAGCACTCGGTGTCAAGATGTGAAGATGAGCACTGCACAATCCAGTGCGCGCAATGCAGGCCGGAAGGACAGGGCACCGATCCACTCGCAGCATCAGTGCAAACATCAGCTAGGTGTCAAATACCAAGCCTCCTATCGCGTTTATACAAACACAGCACGGCCTTGCAAACCCCGCCTGGGGTCTGGCAGTCGACGCGACGTCACGACATGACGTCACGGCATGCCCAGCTGAGGTCCAGCGCACCCTTCACCCTCCACGTGGACGGGAGCTGAGCGCTCACAAGCCTGGCCTGATATTCGCCTGAGGCATGACCTCAGCTGCTGCATGTCGCCCACTTCGACAAGACATCGTAGTTTGATCACACGCGGATACAGAACAGTTCACGGTCACAGTTTCGCCTAATGAGTTTGGAGGGAGTGGGCAAACGAAAACACACCAACAAACGGGCTTATCCACGGATTATCCCCGGCAGAAGACAGGGTGTCCAGGGCGGAGGCGCCGGAGCGAGACCCCGCGCCAGCCGGGCGAAACCCAAGGTCAAATCAGTGGCGCCAATCGGGACCACTCGGTGCGGTGACCGACTGTCCTCGCGCCCGCGCCGCCCCGCACTCCTCGGACGGAGCAGTGCCCCGGCCGCTTGGACGGAGCAGTGCCCCGGCCGCTTGGGCGGAGCAGTGCTCCGGCCGCTTGGGCGGAGCAGTGCCCCGGCCGCTTGGACGGGGCAGTGCCCCGGCCGCTTGGACAGAGCAGTGCCCCGGCCGCTTGGGCGGAGCAGTGCTCCGGCCGCTTGGACAGAGCAGTGCTCCGGCCGTTTGGACAGAGTAGTGCTCCGGCCGTTTGGGCGGAGAAGTGCCCCGTGTCGCAACGGCCCGGCTTGAGTCACCGAGGCGGAGCAGCGGCTGGCAACATCGCGGGCCAGCGTTGGCAGCGCAGGCGCGGTGCGGGGCGGCGGCTGGCGCGGGGGCAGCGCTCAAGCTGACACCAGCTGGCACGGCGCAGCGCAACAGCTGAGGTACGCTGACGACACGGCCTGCTGAGAGGCCCCAGTCGACGCCTCGTCGTCGCCACGTCTGAACATCGCGGACCGGCTGAGAGGCCTCGGTCACCAGGCCGGCTGAGAGGCTTCGGTCACCAGGGCACTTCCCATGTGGTCTATCGCGAATGCCAGCAGGTGGCATCCTTCTCGGTAATCGCCGAACGTTGGAATGTCCGAGCGCCAGGACGAATGATACGGACTTTGCTCCCCCAACTATGTCGCAATAGGCACCAATGATTCGCTCATTCGCGGCAGAATGGCGCACCAATAGCCGCACACGCGCGGGGGTGCGGCCACTTGTGCGAGGCCATGCAACGCGCCAGGTGCGCCCCTTCCACAAAACATAGCAATTGTTCACAGAACTAACGGTTCAAAAACTTCCAACGCCGCTCCAGTAACCAGCGCCTCGGCGACGGCCGAAGCACACGAGCAGGAGCCGACCGACCGGTCACCACCTGGCGGGCCGGCGGCGCCGCGAGGACACGGCGACTGACGACGGCCGAAGCACACGAGCAGGAGCCGACCGACCGGTCACCACCAGGCGGGCCGGCGGCGCTGCGAGGACACGGCGACTGATGACGGCCGCCGGGCGACCTCTGGACGCGCGCGCTCGCCGCAGTCATCAGCCCCACTCATCGCCAGGGTTCGGCACCCCGTCCCGGACACCCGCCGTAATGCGGCGTCAAGCGTCGTTCAGACGTCGCCGGGGAGCGGACTTATTCGCCTCGGTTCGCCTACTCACGCTGGGACTCACTGAATGGAGGCCCCGCTGATGCCGGGACTCACTGAGTGGAGACCCCGCTGATGCCGGGACTCCCTGGGTGGAGGCCCCGCTGATGCCGGGACTCCCTGAGTAGAGCTCTCCCCAGTCCATGTTACGCCTCCCCGGGGCCTTACCAAAAGATGCACGATGAAAATGTAAATACGATGCAAAAGATGCAGAACTCCTTTATGAACAGTCTCCCGTCCTATCCTGGACTTTGGCCCAGTGTGTGTGTGGGGGGGGGGGGGGGGGGGCTCCACAACCGCAGCGTGGCCTCCCAATGGAGCCTCCTCAACCAAGGCCGGGACTCTCAGCGCCCCCGCCTGACTGCAGTGCCGGTCAGATCGGTGTCTGCAGCCCCCCCCCCCCTCCGGTGCCGGCGAGACCATACCACTGCTTCACTTCCGGCGGAAGCAACGCCCCCGGAAACATAGGCCCTTCCTGCGTCCTGCTGGCTTGGTCACTCAGCAGCGATGACGTAATGCATGTTACGCGTCGGTGCCAAGTCGGGTTCCGGTGCCCCCCTCCCCCCTATCTCCGTGTTACAATCCGCTTTTGAAATGACAGACCGCTGTCGGCTTTTTTCCCGAACCACCCACGGCGCGAAATGGATTAAGTTTTTATTTTCGGAGTCAATTTACGCCAGCGAGTGTTTGCTATGCGATAGGATAGCCTCAACATGAATAGCAATGATCTATCATTCCGTCTTTTCACCGATTTCATATCCATTTTGCGCTATGGCGTTGCAGAATTACGTATCTTCAAAAATATTAATCAATACTTTGTAATTTGTTTCTAGTTTCCGTGCCACCACCCTCCAATGGTGGTAACTCCACTCCCTTGTGCGGCAAGTGCAGTACAAACTGCTCTTGGTTCCCCCCCCCCCAAACTCTGCCTCAGATCAGTTTATGCCGGTGTCAGATGTGCTCTCTCTCCGTCCGAGCTGCCCATGTACGTGCTAATCATAGCCACGTGTCGGGTGAAGTGCTCCCCAGGCGTCGGGTACTCATTCCCGCTCCCGCTGTCCCTGCACGGGACCCGACAGCTCCCGTTCTGGATGTAACATAGCCCGGCTGGGTGTAATGTTACCGCCCTGTGGGGTGTATACTTTCTCTCGCTGGGACCCGCCAGCTCATAGACCTGATACGACATACCCCGGCTGGGTGTACGTAATGTTATCGCCGTGTGGGGTGCATACTTACTCTCCATTCTCGGTGCCCCGCCAACCGTCGTCCTGCAACAGCGGCCGACTCTGCATGTAGGCGTCGCTCTCGTCCATCGCGGACCGGCTCCGCTCCCCCTGCAGGGAGGAGCAGCGGACACGTCAGCAGGCCAGCCAACCTATCAGCGAGCACGAACACCACACGGGGGGGGGGGGGGGGATGTCGGAGGGAGTCGACGGGAGCCGGGCATCGGCAAAAGCGCACTTGGAATTTGGAAGTGAAGCGGAAGTCGGGAGGGAGGGAGGGATGGGGAAGGAAGAATTTGGTAAGTGACGGAAGATAGAGGAAATAAGAGACGGCTAAGAAATGAGAATGGAGAGACGGAGGGAGAGGAGGAAAGCGCCCGGCCGGTACGTGAGGAAGCCAGTTTACACAAAAAAACTAGAATTTAATTTGCGTGGCAAATCAAGGTCAATCAACAATTTTCGAGCAAGATCCTGTCAACAATCCACAATGACTTCAAGGTGTTCAACTCCCCCCCCCCCCCCAAGTATGCAGTTTTAAGGTGCGTCAACCACCTCAGTAGTTTGTACCCGGGTAACTGCGAGGGGTAAAACACACAGCGCTCCGGAAGACGAGTCGGAGCGCACACTGGGACAGCGCCATCCTTCACAGCCAATGACGCACACCCCCGCACTTGGCCACGGCGGCGCTGCAGGGGCGGCGGGTCACGCCTCTTGCACGTAGAACACCGCCTAAAAATAGCGTTCCGATGGGGAGCAGTCTCGCGCCGCAACATCCCACACAGCTGCGGCTCACCCCTCTGACCTGACCTCCGGCCTGGCCTAACCTCCAATCTGACCTGACCTGACCTGACATCTGACCTGACCTGGTCGCTGGGAGGCGACCGGCCGGCGCACGCAGGTCGAATGCGACGCCCCGAAGCGACAGGCCCGCCGCAGGATTCCGAACGGTGCTATAGTCTTGGCCTCTTTTTGTTGTTGATGGGGTTTTCGGACGCGCCGACTACTAAGGTCATTTTGCGCCCATAACAACTTAATGACTACATACGTGTTTAATGGCTAAACATCCCATAGCAGTCATCAAGAACGCGAAAAGTCGCCACCAATGATGTCTGAAAAGGTAAAAACTGGAGCATCTCGTCCAAAATAGCATAAAGGCTCTTCACTGAAATGTGGACATATCTAAATAACGTGCTGAACTGTAGGTGGCGTATCACAGTGGCAATGAGACCGTTCTTCACCGCGCAGAACATAGCCATGCGTCGCGTGCGTAGTGACCAATGCGTATTCGGCAAAACACTACTTCTCGTCTCGCATGGCGTGAGCTCGACGGCCATAGGCCTAACTGTGGCTTGATAGCTCTCAGCTTACTGTTTGTTGTGACGTCCCACAGACGTTGCCATTTTCCTTTCATAAATGCCGTAATGGCAGGGTTAAAGTTCCTGGCCGGCAAGGGCAAAATGCGGGTGCAAGATGCAGGCGCTGTTCGGTGTGCCGCCGCATCGGCCAGCTCGAAGTGTCGGCCTCGGTCGCTCGGGCCGCCCCTGAGGCGCGCGCCCCTGCGAGGCTTCGGCGCCGCGCCGCGCCGCGCCGCGTCTGCCAATGGGCGAGGGCGGACGTCACACGCCACACCGCGCCCTGCTCGTCCCCGGCGCGCGCACTTGGCCGGCTTCGCGCCAACCGCCGGCGAAGCCCGGGCGCCGTGAACCAGCGCGGCGCCGGCTCACGGCGCCCGGCTGCGAGCAGCCAGGTCGGGGCGGCAGCGCCGGCTCACGGCGCCCGGCTGCGAGCAGCGAGGTCGGAGCGGCAGCGCCGGCCTCAGCACCCGCAGCGGCGGACAGTGGGGCAGACACCGCCAAAATGATGCCAATTTCTGCTTTTGTTCCCGACCGGCGCCAAAAACTTGTGGTTGTTCTCCAAGTCATGATGCAGGAGCTTCCTTTGATAACAGAAGCGAAAGAGGAGACGGAGGGAGTGCAAGAGGGAAGGCGTGAATACAATGAAGAGATAGATGGAGGAGAGGGGAGGGAGGTATAAAGGAAGAGGAGAAATTAGCTGGAAGGACAATGGCGGCTCAGCGTACACGAAAAAGAAGGAAAGATAAGAAGAAAAAAAAGGGCGAACAACACCGCCCGCTCATGCCCCCTAAAACCGGATCGCCTGCGGCCCTCGGGTGCCGGAGCTGATGGAGCTCTGACTGACCCTCCAGCCACCAGGTGGCCGGGCTCGACACTGCGGCTCCTCTGGCGGCACCGGTCAAACCACCGCCGAACACCCACGCGCCGCCGGCCGGCCGTGCCGCCAATTCGCCACTCTGTACGAGATACCGCCGCGACCGTGTCCATCCGATGCAGGTACGCGAGGCTGGCTGGCCGCCCGCCCACGGCAGACCAGCTGACTTGTGACACATCAGATCATGCGACGCGCAGGCTGAGCCGCCCGTGTCCGCCGCTGCCGCCAGGCAGAACGCGCTAATTGCCAGGTTGTCAGGCGATGATCACACGAGTCTGGCTCGCAAGGTCGCGCTGGCTCGGTGCGCGTGCACCGGAGCTGGCGCCCAGGCCGCGCCGCCCGGCGCCGCTGCGCCGAGCCAGCGCCGCCGCTGAGACAGCTGACTGTCAAGCCGGGCACGCTCCGCGCCGAGGCGGGGGTTCTCAAACCAGACAGGTCAGTGCGTGACAAAGCGTTCCGGCAGGCTGAAGCCAAGTCACTCCGCGCTGTGGTTCACAAGAGGTACGGCGTTCAGAAAGGGAAGTTTTCAAAGCCAATGCTTCATATAACTGGGTGTGATCCGCGTCAAAGGTCAGTGAATTGGTCGTTACTTAGCTGTCGGTATCGCGCACAGGGGCAGCGCGAAAATGGTCGCACAATACATGCCATTCGACACACTGTCTTGGCCACGCTGGCTCTTAGGGCACAATGTCATCACGGGATGCCAGAAGTTGATCCAGTTCGATTCAAATGTCGATATAATGCCATGCCGGCCTCTAATTTCCCACTAACTGATCATATGCATTCCTTATATTGTCATATCATATATCATATTATCATATGCCACAAACGCTCGAACTTTCTACAAGTATAAAAGCACCCGCTGCCTTATCGTTGCTGCTCCTGGCACCTGGGATTCGGCTTCAGCTTCAGAGTAATTGCATGCTTTAAACCGTAAGCACAGGCCAATCCAGCCGCCTACAGACCGTGGTCAGCGATGAGGTCAGCACGCCTGCCTGCAGTCTCGTCCCCGCGCTCTGATCTGCTCATCTCCGTGCGACCGCTGCCGCTCGCCGCCACAATGGCCGCCGGCTGCCGGCCTCCGCGGAACAGAAGCGCCACTTCCGCCACTGCTATGCCCCAGTCCGGGGCACGAGTCAGCCTATCTCCCAGACCCGGCGCCGCTGCCCGCAGAGTCGTCCCTCTCGGCCCGTCCGCGTGGGTGTCAACCATTCACGCACCAGAGGCAGGAAGGCGGCGCCAGTCACCCTGGACCAGCCGCAGAGCAAACAGCCAAATCACCCGGTCAAATAAGCGGCTACCTTACGGCCACGCACGCTCGTCTGCGAGTCTTACCCAATGGAGATGTCCATGACCCATCGACGGCACACGCTCTCTCTCTCTTTCTATCTCTCACGTCGCCGGCTCGCCGCCGGGACTGCCGCGCCACTCGCCACTCACCAGCACACTGCCGGCCGGCCCTCGCCACCAGCCGCACATAACCCCTCTGCGGCGCAGCAGACGGCGGCGCGCCCGCCCGCGCCCGGCTCGCCGCCGGCACTGGCCGCAGCCACGGCGGCCGCCGTCCGGCGTCCGTCGGCGGCCCCGCTCGCACCGCAGCACGTTAACACAGGCGACCCACCGCCGCCTGACGCCCCTCCCCGGTCGGCGTAGTACCGTGGCGCGCTGCGTGAGAGGGCGGCCAGCCAGGCGGTCTCGCCGGCCCGCCTCACCGCCGGCCCGCCACACCGGGCTAATTCGGGACGGCCCTGGTCGAGCACACCGCCTCGGGCGGCCTCGGCGCCCCCGGCTCCGGCTCCGGCCCCAGCCCCGCCCCGCTCGCCACGGCGTTGGCACAGCCGCCCGTAAGGGTGAAGATTTGGCCTCGAGCCGCAGGAGCGTTCCGTTCGGCCCTGCAAGCCGCCCACGCAGACCAGCGTGACCTCGACCAGACCCAGACTCACCGTGACCAGACCAAACCAGACCGTGACCAGGACGCAGACCCACGCAGGCCAGCGAGAGACGCCTTTCAGGAGCCGCACGTCAAAAAGAATCATGGCGCCGGCCGGAATCAGCAGCGATCGGCGGCTATCGCCAGTGGTTCTAGTGTCACCGGCGCCGGCGAAAACGACCGCCGGAAACAGGTGGTGATCCGTGCACAGCGATCAGTCCGCGGCCGCCTGATGACCGCTGCCGTCAGTGCCGTCGGTGTCAGTGCCGACGAGAAAGTAATTGTCCATTCGGCGGTTAACGAGGGCGTGCGGGTAACTGGGTCGTTGCAGGTCACGGGTACCGGGTACCGTGTACAGCTGCAGCCGCAGCCGGCTAAGCTCGAACAGAGCTGTTTACGAAGCGGCTCGCCCCCCAACGGTCACGTGCGGCCCGTCTGCCGCCGGCAGCTGGCGGCAGGTACTGCTGACACGGCGCCCAGCGCGGCCGGCTCGCGTCCCTCCACCTGGACCGGGTCCATCACCAACCCACGCCCCGACAGAGGGCGGCGCGTCCGGAGCCCGCCGGCCGCCCGGCCGCCACGGGGCGCCGCCAGCCCGTGATCGGGCCGGCCACTCCCGCTCGGCGGCCGGCGCCCTCAGGCCGCCAGCGGCGGCACTGTTGCCGCCACCGCTGTCCCGCCTCCACCAGGCCGATCTCGGCCCAGCGTCGACCCGCCGACCGCAGGCCAGCCTCCAGACCGCCACCACCGCACACGGCAGACAGGCATACGCCGGCCGGGCTTTTCAGAGCGCGACGACTCGAGGCTGGCTGGAACGAGCAGAGCTCGCGGATAAGAACGCTGGAGGTCACCCTGTGCAAACACTGAGATTCTAAACATCGCCGCATCCGGTTTGCCCTCTATTTGCCGCCTCATTGCTGGAAATAGCCGACAAAAACGATGGACGAACAGA